AAATATTCAACATTTTGTACTGTCAGTAACACAGTGTGTGGTCTTCTATATATTAGCATTAAATGATGAATTCAATCCAATTCAAAAATACTTTACTGATCCCAAAGTTAAATTAAATTTAATTAATAGTTTAAAAAGTATGAATGATAATAACAATAAATTATTAAAATTAATAGTTCAATAAAATTATTAAAACATAACAGTAGTGTCATGCAGGCCATATAAACCAAAATGTAAAAATACAAAAGCAGTAATGTACTTATAATTATAATATTTTATATATATGTATATATATATTTTTTGTTTTTTTGTTTTTTTTGTTTAGGATTAATGTCAAAGATGAAACTAATCATACACGGCTAACTTAATATGTGACATTATTGTGAATATTATTCTGGTCTTAATAACTCACCTGGTTAAATTTTGGTTAAATAAATGAATAAATACAGCATTTGGTTTTTTTACGGTAATGATAACTAATAGAAAGATGAGAGCCGAGCTTCACACCAACCCGTGCCAGGTCTTCGATCTCGTTGGAGTTGGTCTCGTCTGTTGCCTCCAGCATTTCCTCCTCCTCTAGGGTTCGCTCATCGTCAAAGTCATGAACAAGCATGTCGGCTGACGGATCGAAATCGTGGTCGTCGGAACCTGCTGAGCCTCCTGCAAATGTCCAAGGTCGTAGACAATGTCACACTGAAGCTAGTTCTCCTCACACAAATCTTTAAGTGTAGTACGGCACATCAAATTGGAAATAATAACAGGTAAAATATACTTATGTGTATCAATATAAATTGTAGCTATTTCAAGGAACAGGTTTTAAATGTTGCTATTCACTAAAGGCAAAACAGAGAAAGAAAAGATAAGCTACCTGGGCTCGAATTCCCGAGGGAGGGCTGAAAAACGGAAAGGCGGGGCAAAAGGTTAGGAGGACAAAAGGAAGAAATACATCCAAAAATCTGCAGGATTGGGAGTTAAGCACAAAAAAAACACATGCAGAACAACTTTGTATCTCAATTTTCAAAAACACACAGCAATAGAAATAAGCAATACAACAACATTCATCTTGACAATTTCACTTAGGGATGCAACGAATGATTATTTCAGTAATGGATTATTATGGATAACCCTGACGATGAATTGGATAAAAAATAAATAAATAAAAAACTGCCACATTCTGCATTTTTTTAAATTTAAAATCTAAATATGTTGTGTTCACTAATTGAAGAACTGGAAAGCAGAATTTTAATGCATTGAAAATAGAGCTGAAAAGATTCACTGTATTAAATTAATCAATTTAGTAATTGATTAATTGTTAACTGGAGTGCACTGTTTCAAAAAAGGCCATTTACTGAAAGAACAACAACCTGAAAGCAGTAATTTATTAGGCCAAAACTGTACAAAAATACCTACATAAACTTTTAATTTCTTATTTAAAAAGGGAACGGAATTATTTAATTGTATTAAGAAGGCTTAAGTGGTTAATGAACTACTGATCCCTGTGCAGGCTGCTACTCAGGGAGGGAAAATGTATTTTCTACCTGTCATATGTTCATTTAGGCTGCTACCTGGAAAAGGAGCAAGGTTCCTGTGAGAGCATGTACAGCCACAATAAATACATAAGTGACTTAAAAATATAACAGCAAATCAGTGTTCTTTTATCAAATAATAGGTTAAAAAAAAAGGTGTTGTGTATTTCGGTTTATTGAAATAACTGAAATTTTTAATTGCTATAACTTGTGGTATTTTTTGCGTTGGCTATAAAAACAATTCAAAAAGAAGCATTGTGAAATTCATCATAGACCTTTTGGTAATAAACCCATAAAAAATGATGTCCTAAAAATAAAACATATTTACTACTAAAAAGGCTACAGGACAACATTATACAAAGTGCAATAAAATTGCACTTTAGAAAATACTAAATATTTATTTTATGTGAAGTTGGCTGGAAAAACAAATTACTACATAAAACAGTTTGAAATAGTGCTAATATACTGTGGTGTTTTATAAAGATTGTTCTTAGTTTTTTTTTTTTTTTTAGCCTCGTCAATGGTTTTCATAATAACACTATGTGAAAAAATAAATCCATATTTTTAATGGTAGAAAAAATTATATATACATCTTGTGAGATGCTGCACTTCTATACTTTGTGGACTGAAAAAAAGGTGATCTAAGCAATCTTTTAAAAGAGCAAAGGAAATATGCTGTAGTTCATTTTAGTCTATTTCAATTGTGGGCTTCTGCATATTCTGATTTATTAAATATGACTATTATATCATAGCAATAATAGTATTTTACGTTGCATTCGTCCTAAATTTAATCTTGTCTTCTGTATTATAAGAAGCTCCAATGTTGTTCCTTGTCTATTAGTATTTGAAGTTAAGTTAAAGTTTATGATTTACTGAGTCTTTTTAAGAGCAATACTGTTTGTTAAGTAGTTTTAAAATAATGTAGACTACAGCAATTTTGGTCATGTATCAATAAAACATTTAGATGAGGTGAGGTTGTGGCACGTAATTCAACGAATCTCTGGTTTTAAGCAGAGTCTATACAACGTTTATAAGTCTTTAACAATTAGTCGAATATCGTTGTTTTTGAGAGCTGTGTCTGCGGAACAAGCCAACGCTTTAGTCAGCCGATAAACAAAGCCAAAAAGAGACCTCAAATTACAGCAATGTGTTTTAAATTATCCAAATAACCCCCCTGGAAAACTCTAATAGGCAAAACATACAGAGGCTACTCTGACAGTGGGAGGTCCGCGGACTCCGAAAAAAGCGCGCCTGACGCTAAACCCTAAAAGCTCACTGCGACTCAATGAGATACGAAACAAAGGCTACTGCGACCGTTTCCTGCGAGGAAAATGTAGTGCTACCCAACATATGTCACTATAGACTGAATATCACAACTGCAATAGCGTTTATATCCCACATTAAACCACAGTTTGCTCTGACAGGACGCCACTTTACTGAGTTCATTTTCTCAACTCGCTAACTTCAATACAAGTTGTAAGCTAATTATTTTTCCTTCACAGAAATCCGCTAAGGCGCCCAAATTTAGCTTGCTATTCACAGCCAGCGAATAAGAATGAACTCGAGCGCACAAATAAGTGTAAAACATAGGCAAATGTCCAGTTAACAGCTGTTCACGCGAGGATAAATATCCTGACCAAACCGCGAAGTAACAAACACCGCAGCTACCTTACAGTCCGTCGGGGCTAGCGCAGCTAATGCTAGCTAAATCCGAAGTTTATACAACATTCTGGACTCAAATAAATAACTGCTATCGAGCAAGCCAGTGAGCTGCTGCTTAGTTGTGTTTAAAACTGTTAAAACACAAAGACTATTTGCACATTCAGTAGAACAAACTATCACGTAATATGAAAGACATTTTTTTCTGACTATTTATTTCACTTTCTTACCTCCGCCATATTTGCGATCCTGCTGGGTGACGTCAGAGGTCACCGTTAGTACCCGGATCCGGAGCTCCGCCCACTTGCCTCTACCCCCCCAACATCGAAAACCAAAATAAAAGAGGTAAAAAGGCAGAACGGTCTTTGTTTTGATTGTTTTTGGAGCCAACCCTATCCACAACTATATCAATTTTTATAATCCTTTGTCCCAGCAATTGTTAATAATACGAATTTAAGGATACTGGCTTCATTATAAAGTTGTTAAAATATAACTTTTCATATGCAGGTACACCTGTGCAGAGAGCTATGTAAAGGCGTTACAACGCTCAGTGAACACCAGCACGCGCTCATCTGACAAGTAAATGTGTCTAGTAGAGTACGTGCTCACGTGCACGTAGATCAGGTAATCTGAGATAAGTGGCCACTACTGCTGGGCATGATAAAATGATAATTACATAAAAAAACAACCTCAAAATCTAGCATTAGGAAATCTAAAAGGGGTTTTTAATGATTACTTTAAAAGAACCAGCGTTTTGTATTTATGCACTCTGAAATTTGTTTTTCTTAAAGTTGTTATCATAAAGTTTTACCCTTAGTATTTTACAATATAACATTTGAATAAGAGAGGCTTTCAGACAAAAGAATAAAGGCAAATGCAGTAGTGCCTAACTTTCCTAAGTAGTATAGATTTGTTTTCAGGGTATCAGTTTTTAGGGGAGAGACGCATACAAATATGTATTGTTTTAGATTTTTATTACAATTTTTGAAAAAATGTTCTTGCCAAGTTTTCTGGAATTTAGCAAACACAAAAACTTTGTGGTAATATAATAAGCTAACACAAGAAAAGTTTGGTCTGATTTAACATCAGACAGTGAAAAAAATATATACTTTTTTTTCAGTGTAAGTAAATATCATGAGTCTCTGCAACCAGGTTGTTTTTTTTGTTATAACTATGCAATTATAACAAAAATTGTGTAATGTCTTATTCAGATTGTTCCTTTACCTGACTGTAACATCTTTGATGGGAAAACCCTCATCATCATTTCTTCTTCTGTGGTCTTGTTAAATTGTTTGCGTCCCTTTTGTCATGTTACACTGTGGGAGAGTGGATGTTGCTTCTTTTTTTATGTAAATACATCCAGTTACTTATAGATTTATTATGTTAGTTTAATAAATATAACATCCAACACCATTGTAATATATAAATCCATTCTTTAATGTGCATGTTTAAGTGAACTAACGATTGTAAAGTAGCAGGAATTAACTTCAGTTTTGCTATATACTTTAGTTTTGTGTAAGACTTGGATCAAGCAGCCCATAACATGGTTGTATTCTGTTTGTCGTTCTCGTCAGGTATGCTGTGTATATATAAGATTTATATTGTTTGTTTTAAAAGTCGTGCAGAAAGCAGCCACCTCGCTCGAGCCATCCATTTGGGGACCATCAGCTAACTCTTCAGCTGCAAAAATTCAGCTTTTCAGATGTAAAACGGATCTTCTCTCTACGAAAATTTGCTTATATAGGTCATTTTTACGGTGTGATGGAAATTCATAACCAAGCAGGTAGAGAAACTACTCAAGAATTGAGAAAGTTGCAACTTTGTCTTCTAAGTATTTTATTTGAAGGCGGTCAAGCGTTCAAAGGCTCTGAACACAACAAAATCAGAAAAGTCAGAGTAACACCTCACAGATGCCTCCGTTTTATACACACTTCTGTTATCTGGGAGAACATTCCATGTAAGAACACTGTTCTGTACAGAAGTTGCAACATCAGCCCGTCTGGTCTGGCTCTAACCACTCCTTATGTTTTGTAGCTTTTTATCCTACAAGGAAAAAGTCCTTGGCAGGATAATGGAAGATTCTGCAACAGCTAGAACATTGTAAAAAAGAAAAAAACAACAGGAAGTGACTTCTGATAACACAAACTACTACATACAAACAGTCACTTACTCAAGAATTTCCACTTCAGTGTTTGCTTAATAATAAAGCATTTGACAAAGACTTACGAACTAAAACTTGACCTGACGGTTTACTCAAAGTAGATCCCATACACAGTGGCGCTGCAGAACAGAGAGGTGTTCTTGAAGGAGTGGGACACAAAGGTGTCGAAGTTTGGATCCCACAGACAGCGGCTGCTGATCTGCATCCCCTGACCGTTGAGCTGGCCGATGTGGACCAGGATGACAGTTTTATACCTGGGGATCATAAGCTCCTTCACGCGGGTCCTTATCACCTTCAACAAGGTCAGAAAGAAGCGTTCTGATTTCGGCAGATGTTCTGATGGAATCAAAAAAAGTCGGCTGCATTTTCACCTACTTCACAGAGAGTTAGGGTCATTTCTCGAGAGTGCAGTGGTTCATACTGCATATCTCGGAGGTAATGGGTGATTTCTTCCTTCAGTATATATGAGATAGTAGTGATAGGGAATAGTTTATAAGGGCCTGTGGATCAAAAAAAAAGAAAAAAGAAAACACCAGTTGTTTAAGCATTCATTACATGTCCTCAACATGTAATGGATACTAGGGAATTTATTGGTGAGAAAATAACACATATACAAAACATAATGTTCAAAACTAATTACATTCTAAAGAATTTTAACAACTTGTTTTTGGTGACAAATGCTAAGAAAGCATTTAAGCTAGGAAAGCAGCAGTATCTCCTTAAGATACACTTTTCTAACAATGTAAAACTCATCATAATGAAAACATTTCTCAACAAACGTAGGTTACTAAGTTAACGATTCCGTAAAATACTGCCCAAACCCATAAATTAGAATTAGACGGAAGACGTTACTTCAAACACTATTCCGCTTCATCCGGTAGAGAATAATAAGTGTGACATGCTTACTAAGGTTGTACAATTAAATATACATTATGACTTTTACTAAGACATACATTTGTCAAAGATCCTGTTTGGTAAAAGTTTTAGTTTGTATGCAGTTTTAGTTTTGACAAACCGCTACTGCTGAACTAAACCCTGGAAAAACATTTCAGCAGAGAAAATATTTACTTGCCACCTTGTTAGAATCGATTTAAAAGGTTTATTACTATTTCATTAACCTTAATTACAAACCAGATTTTTTTTTTCTTTTTTTTTTTTTTTTTTGCTAATAGACCAAATCAATGATTCCTGTGAACTTACATTCTTTCTCTTAAAAAATATACCTTCAAATGTGAAGAATAAATATACAAATGGCTTCACAAATGTTATTGGTTGAATCCTAACTGTTTGCCTATATACACTGTCTCTGGTTTAACTTCCATTAATTGTGGTTAAATCTGTCAATAAACTCAAATGTTTACAAATTCTTCCCATTATATCTATCATAGTCCAGCTGTTGTGTCAAAAGCTAAGCATCTATGATTATCAGTCATGGTGCACTGGATTCAGGTTAGCTGGTGGTGATGGTGTTGCTGTTCTCATTAAGTTGAATGTTTGCTTACCCAGTTGGTAGGTATTCGGATTCGTGGTAGCTGCTTGATCTTCATGATGGGTAACATGCTCGTCCACATGCATCACATGCGTACTGGCGGGGCTGAACACGATGGGTCAAAATTTAAGAAGTTGCATGTAAATTAGAGAATAGGCACATTATAAGTTACTGACAGGAAAAGACTTCAATTTGATCAGGCAGAACAGACACTGAGGATACTTACTCTTTAATCCGCGCAGTTTTTTCTTTGGCTCTGGATCCCTCCGGGTGAATTTTTATTTTCTTCTCCGCTTTTTGTGGTTTGTCCTTAAGTGGTTCAGACATCGCTGCTTTTCCTTCCCTTAACTTCCCTTACAAGTCAAAATAACCTGAAATGTTATGTAGCGCAAGCTAGTTTCTGCATTGCATTAAATATGGCTCCATGTGTACGTTTTGAAAATAACAGGCATATAATAAGCGCTTAAAGATTTTTTTTAAAACGAGACGTTCTTATAAAGCCTCGACAAAACTAATTTTTACTTGAAATAAAACTAGTGAAAAACAATCAACTTTGAGCTCCACTAACCTCAGGAGAGACAGCGTAAGCTCGGGTTGTTCTTTTTTTTTTTTTTTTTTAAAGTTTAGTGAAATGTCGAAAAATATTTAAATACGTTTGAAATTATATAATTGTAATACATGTTACAATACTAGTTAATTTAAAATGTTTATACCGATTTCTCGACGGCTTGTTCCAGGTTTAACCAGATGAAGCAAGAGTCCGCGGTAACCATAGCAACCGTGACTCCTAGGTGGGCGGGTTCGTGATTCGGTGGGTGTAACCAACGGCTGTGAGTTGAAGACGTCATCGTGCCCTTTTGCCTGGATTTTATGGCCATTATTTCCAATTTAAGTAGTCCGAGTACAAGACTGCATATCCTGAGTGTGAGTCGATATAGGTCAAATTAAATTCAATTCAATTTTTGTCAGATGTTCCAGTAACATTGATACTTTATTTAAACAGAGAACTGGGATTCAGACCATTCACATTCATGGATTCCCACAGTAAGATAAATAAATAAAATAGTAACAGATATAATTTGAAATGAATAAATGACTGAACAAAATAATTCTTTTTCAAAGCAAAGTAAACTTGTGCATTATTATAGGGACATTATAACTTGAAACAGATACAACAAACTAACAAATGTATAATTCTGCAACACCAGTTAATTCCACATATTTCTTCGGATAAATAACAGTTAGAGGTGGGTGATTAACTTGTTGCATTAACTTGAGTACTTAAAAAACAGAAAAGAAAAAGTCCAAAATGTCCAACTATTTTTGAAGAGCTATCCCAAAATGTGAGCGTTGTTTCATTCCAGTGCATTCACAGCGCCCTCTGGTGTCATAACATGAGATGGACACAGGACCTACTGCTATGGACCAAACTTCTTCTTCTTCTTCTTCTGTTTTTTTTTTTTTTACCACCGCCCGCCTCTCCGGCTGAGTAGCAACAAACTTGTTGGTGGTTATGTGCGTTAACGCAGAAACATTTTACTATAATTTCTTAAGGATGGAGTCATATATTTACACCTGCAGTCCATTCAGATACAGCCTACGTATACATTTTGAAACTGCGTTAAAAAAAAAAAAAAAAATCCAAAACGAAAATTTCTCCACCACCCCCAAGCGTGCGCTCTCCTTACGTAATCACGCAGGCACGCGGAAACAGATGCAGCTGTAGGAGAAAGCTTCGCAGCGCTCGCTCGCTCTGACACTGCAGCGTCTCTACGTCAGGGCCGGACTCGGAGTCACCCTATCTCCCAGTTTTCAGGTAACAAGCTCCTTAAGCAGAACTTGTGATTCCTGTCCGCTTCTGGCCATGTTTGCGCTGCCGGTTGTTGTTCGACCTTCCGCTCGTTCATTCGTCCTTGCTCAGCCTGTGTTGTTTGCTTCCATTTCTTCGGTTCACTTTCTCTTTTATTGTCACCCGGCTGGACGAGTTTGTTTCATCACAAATCCGTTTGCATATCTTTGATGTGAAACAATAAGCCTAAATCTCTGGTTGTTCTTTGTATTCACTCTAGTTTTTAACACTACTCCAAGTGTTACTCTGTCAGCTCTGCCAGAATGGTTGTACTTTCTAAGGAGTACGGCTACGTTGTCCTGACTGGTGTTGCCAGCATGATCATGATTGGACACCTGGCCATCAAAGTGGGAAAAGCCCGGAAGAAGTACAACGTGCTGGTGAGCTGGAGGGTGATGTTACATTACCCTGCGGGGGGCGGGAAGGGGAGTAATTGTTACATTTGCTTTCTCTCTCTTCCCCCCCCCCGCGCCCCCTTGCAGTACCCAAAAATGTACAGTGATGATCCAGAACATGGACACATCTTCAACTGCATCCAGCGTGCACACCAGAACACGTAGGTATCTGCTTCATAAGTAGAGGTAGAAACCAGAGAAGCCTGCACACGCCTTCTGGTTTTACCTACTGATAAGGAGGAGGAAGAGCAGGTGAAGGTTGACAATCTATTATCACCTTTTAACAGGCTGGAGGTTTACCCCCCCTTTCTCTTCTGCCTGGCAATTGGTGGTTTGCATTGCCCCGTGAGTTTTGTTGTTGTTGTTGTTTTGCACTCGCATGCTGCTGTAGTCCCATCCAAATAAGGGTGACGAGATCACATCCCAGTAGCTAAAGCCAACACTGATTTGTTTCCTTTGTGTGCGTTTGACAGCGCCTAGCGAGTGGACTCGGAGCCGTGTGGATCGTTAGCAGAGAGGTGTACGCACATGGATACTCCAGTGGAGGTGAGACGAAGCTCATGGGCCTCGGTTTGGAAAGTTACACAGTAAAAAAACAATTAACAGCAATAATTTGGTTTATTTAGCCTGTCACAGAGAGAGAAGGGAAAAAAAAATAAACAGGTGTTCATTTTTCAAAGTTATATTTTCACCATGTTTTTCCTACATTTTTAATGTAAAGTAAAGTAAATATTTAATTCATAAGCCAAATATATAGTTCATTAAATATTAGAAATTTTATTTCAAATGAAATACTTAGTTAGATGACTAAATTTTTAACTTAAAGTTAAATATGTATTTTTGCTAACTAAATATTTAGTTTATCAATTTTTAGCTCATTAGCTAAATATTAAGCTAGTTATTTAGCTTGTTAGCAAAACTTGCAAAATATGCTATAAATGTAGGCCTGAGCTAAACATTTAGCTTGAAAATTTAATATTTAGTTTGAAACTAGATATTTAGTTAAAATAAATTTATTTGGGAAATAAATATTTAGCTTCCTAGCTAAATATCTAAATATTTATTTTTGCTGTTGAATTAATTATTTAGTTTGGAACTCTGACATTTCGAAATGTAGAAATAACAAGGTGAGAATATTAAAATGAACACCCACATATTTTTTCCTTTATGACAGGATAAATAAATCAAACTAATACTGTTCATTTTTTTTCCTGCATAACCTCATAGAAGCCGTCCTGCCACTCTTTTTTTTATTTACATAACATCCTGTGTGCTAAAAATTGTTGTTGCTGTCCATTTATCAGATCCCAAGAAGAGGATGAGGGGTGCGTTTGGCAACGTTGCCTTGTTGGGGCTGATGCTGACCACTCTGAGCTACGGGGGCCACCTGCTGGGCTGGTCGGGACCGACGCGCCCGCGGCTGTTCGGGGCTGCATCCTGCCACTAATGATTTAGATTTGCTGATGTCGGCAATCAAAATCATGTTTTATGGCGACTGCACGTAGCGTATCTCTTAGCGTATCCGCTCAGCTCTGACCTGCTTAACTGGTTGTGTTAAAGCTGGAAAGTAATTCGACTGGTTTTTTCTAGATGCAGCCACTCCCACTTCAGATGAGTTCACCTGCATTAATGCAAAAGCTGGACCCTCGTTATGGAGAACTGTGGCTTTTATTGTATAATTTTTGCACTGAAGATGATCAGTCAGTTTCAACATGACTTCCATCTGTTTGCATTAAGCCTACATGATATACACGTTCTTACTGTCATGATTGCCTGAAGCCAGATGTTAATTCTGGCCTTTCTATATTAAAAATCTGTACACTTCTACTTTTTACACTCTTTGGCTGCAGATCACAATCTTAAAAGGTTTACTATAGAAGGTGTGAGGCTGAATGAAAGAATGTGAGGGTGTGTTTACGTAGGTGTGTGTGTAAAGGGAGCGCCTTCTTTTTTTTAAAACAGAGTTATTGTTTAAAGTCCGCCGTGCCGGTTCAGACAGGAGCAATAACTTATTGACTTAATTATCATAAATCACTGTTAATACCTGACAACCGGTTTAAAAAGGAGGCCAAAATTGAAGCAGTGTAATGTTCCCCCCGCAATATCAAGGGCAGCAGACTTACTGTTGGTTTTATGGTTTTTTTTTTTTTATTACTAAACAAGTGATCTTTCATAGCATTTAAATTATTACATTTTAAACATGTAAAATCCTTGGTGAGAGTAAAGCAAAACTCTGACAGAGCGGAGAATCTTGCAAAATTCAAAGCCCTTGAACTTTCTCCACATTCTGTCAGCTTGCAACTACAAGCAAGGTAAAAATCTGAAAGGTGTGGCGTGCATTTATTCCGCCTACATGAGTCGATATTTTGCAGGATTACATTTTCCTAAACTTCTAGCTAGGGATGCATGATATATCGTGACAATATCACAGTGTGCACAAAATTCATCTTGCAAAAGATTGGCATGCAATAATTATTGGCTAACATATTTTAAGAGGGTTTTTTTTTTATCCTAATAATAAAAATGCGATATTTAGCCAGACGTTGCCAAAAATGCTAGAGATCATGTAGTGCATGAAGCACAGATTAGGAGAAGGGTTTTATCGTAACTGATATCGCAATATTGACTACCATCGCAAAATATTCTAATACTGCAGCATTTAAAATAATCATCTTTGCAAGATTTTCTAATATCCTACTTCAGCTACCAGTCTTGGATTCTGTATCTGCTTTGCTTGCATAGAGACGGAAGTTTTACCATTTGTTCTCCACTCAATCTTACTAAAACAGCATCTGACCAGCAAATTTCAAAAGATTTAAAGAGGAGAGGCAAAAGCAAATGAGTCAGATTAGCATTACAGTGCTATAAACAACTAATGATGTCATCCAGTACGTTACTATGGAAATTGTCCCTGCCACCTCGACCTTGAGCTGTTAGCATGTCATGAGACTGTCAGATACCAGCAGTCTTCAGCCAGAGTTCTCTTTGGATTTGTTGTAACACTGACTGCTTCTGCTATTTTAATTTTCAGATGAACTATCAAACGGTATTTTGTGAGATTTCCGAAGCTTTATATATTGTTTTATAATGCATTACTCGTGAGTTGACTGAAGGCAATTGGATTGGATTTTCTTTACTTATTTCTTTTTTCTATTCTGCACTAAGGTGTGTTTCTCTTTGATATAAAAGCCCATTAAAATATGCTGACGTTTGTGGTTACAGCATGATGAAACGTGGAAAAGTTCAAAGTGCTAGGAATGCTTTTGCAAGACACCCGACGCTCGGACCCACACAACAGCTTTTAGTTTCACTTTAACTTCTTATGTGTGTTCATTGTAGCACTTTTACTTGGGAAGTAATGTGCATTGGCACATTCAACATTCAATTTAAGGAACAATCGCCAACTTCAGGATTCTTATTCCAACATGAAACGATACAGAGAAGTTTCACAACAACGTTTACCAAACACCGCCACATATTCCTGATTTCAACCACTAAACGTTTTTTCTTGGTTTAAAAAAAAAAAAGGTTACTGGTGCATCTGGTTTTTCAAATACTGTAGAGTAAAAATATAATTTACGTGTGAACTTTCTGTATTACCTCATGCAGCTTTAAGGCAGCAGTTTGGATTGAAAGTGCACTTCACTCATATTTGGTCACCTAAATCATCTCCAGTGATGTTTCTCAGTCAGAACCCCAAATCCTCATTCAGACCGACAATCACCTGAGGTTATTTGGCCTGGATGGATTTTTCGACCTACGTTATCTCACATGTCCACTAGAGGGCAGTGTAATGTCACGTTGAAAGTGCTGCTATTTGTGCAAAAGTGCCTTGAATTTGCACTTTTTGTGTGATACTGAAAAGTCTCCAGGACTTAGATGGGAATGTGGAAGAAATATTAGGTGACTCTACGACCTTTGATGATTCAAACCAAAAACCACGAAATAATTAAATAATCGTTTCAATAGTGAGCCTTAAACAGAGAAGTCAGTCATTTGGACTAATCCTCTTGAAGACGTATGCTTCTCCACGTATCCAAAAAGTTGCTTCTTTTTCGCCACATGTTCTCTCCACGGTGCGAGTGACAGAGTCGAGAGGAGAATCTGTCAGTGGGCGTAGCGTGAGAGGGGCGTGTCCTCCATCAAATCGTCCTACGGAGAGAATTACAAACTGTAACACGATGACCTCAAAGGAGAAGCAACAGCAATGCCCATAGAGAAGGAGACTTACTTCTTTGTTTAGCAAAAATGGAAACGTATCATTTTTGTTTCTTTTCTTAAAGGGGCAGTATTACATAAAATCTTATCTTTTTGAGCTTCACCATCATGCAATTTTATTCTCTCATCAAAAAACACACCTGGAGTGTTGCGTTGATTATTTCATGCATGTTTGAGAAGTCCTTTAATCTCCATAGCAACCATTCAGCTGTGCAAAACACCTGAGTGGCTCTATGGATGCCTTTGACGCCCAGAAGCTTTATGTTTGCAAGCTTCCGATCTTTAACCCACTCAGTTCCTTCAAACTAGCCAGCATCAATTAGCAAACACCTGGTGGAACTGTGCATGCGCTGAGCTCATTACAGGACCTACTTCTCAGTGCTATGCTGGTAAAAATGTTAAAGGTTAGTAGAGGAGCCATGTTGTGATCCCTTGCTGAGCAGGGGTTTCTTAAAAAGAGAGAGGCCCAATTTCAAAGCTTTAAATTACAAAGACAAATTTCTTTTTAGTCACATTTAATACATGAGGTATTTTTTTTAATGTAACACCTGACTTGATTATGCAATAAAATGGCACAATGTGCATGGAAAACACAAAATACTGCCTCTTTAGCCAGGCTATTTTGTGAGTCATTATCACATTTCCTGCCCAGTAATTCTGTCAGTGTGACTTCATGACAATAGAACACTAGGAACCATTTTATTTTAACCTAATGCCAGCCGTCCGGTCACAACAGGAAGATAACTGGCAGATAGAGCACTTCCTGTGAATTGAAACATGCTAGGAAAAGAACAACAATACTGTAAAAACTGAGGGAAAACATCAAAGACTACGAGTAGAGAGTGTTGATGGAGTGGTCTCTTACCATGGGAAGGTCCTGAAGCCGGTGGAACTCAGGGTGGTTCGCCCGCTGGCGGAACTTGAAGAAGAGGACAGTGAAGACCACAGCTGTGGAAACGATGAACACTGACAGCAGACCGGCCAGCAGGGGGTCCAGGGGAGAGCTGGAGTGGCGGTGGGACCCCTTCGAGTCTACATGATGGATAACAAATCATTAAAACGACATCATAAATTCAAACTCTAAAAAGAAGCAACGCTCTCTACGTCTCCTAACCGTCGTCGCCGATGTTTAGCTCCGACGGAAACTCCCGGTGTGTGGGCCCCACAGGGACCCAACCAGGAGCTGGTGTGTGTGCGGTAGAGGAAGGGGTCGTGGCTCCAGATGAAAAGGTGGAGTGGGCCTCGCCGGTCGGGGAGTAGCTACGGGAGGTGGCCTGCTGACGGGTGGAGCTCGCAGTGGTTGGTGCCGATGAAAGGCCGTCTGCGGCGGATGAAGTTGTGTCGGTTCAAAACAGGACAGAGAGCTCTTTAGAGGAAATGCAGCAGAGGTCACCCTGCTCCTGAAACCTGATCGCTTGCCCCCAACAACGAAGCTGCTGCCCATAATGTTTAGCAAAAACTATCTATGCATAATAATACCAAGAATTATCTTTAAAAACATAGAACCTGTTTGGCTTTGTAGTCATCACACCAACATAATAATAATAATAATAATAATAATAATAATAATAATAATAATAATAATGGTGATGGTGGTGCAGCATATCCTGTGCAAACAACCTCGACTTTCTAGTTTTTACATTATTTTAAATATGTTTTTTTGTTCTAATTCACCAACTAGAGTGTGCAAAACAAACTACAGACTAACACGGTGCTTTTGAAAGTGATGGCCGCCAGAGGGCGCGGTTGGGGCTTCAGGAAGTTGGAAGAAAGATGAGGAGGGGAAAACTAAAATAAAAATAAAATGGAACCTCGTACATTTGGTACCTTAAATTTATCTGTTATTCAATTATGTGTGTGTTTTTTATAAAATATGTTAAAATAATTGATTTAACTGTTATTTCTGATGCTCTTTTTTTTTGATCGACTGCCAGTCAAATTCATCAAGCAAGAAATGGAAACATTTCTAACAAGAAAAAGACCATGGGAACTGTAGGAATAAATTCAACTTGTTGATTAATATTATGATAAGAAGTATGTTTCTTTACATATTTTGTAAAATTGTGAGTTTGCAAAATATGTATAGGTGTAGATCTACAAAATAACCAATTAGATATGAGAACAAACAAGAACAAAGAAGAAAAAAGGGAGTACAAATTAAAACATTTAGGACAAAGATCAAATACTGAATATAACTAAGTGGTGTCACAACAAAAATGGAGTTCAGCATATGTGTTCTTTCCTTTTCATCGTGGCAGT